TATCAATGAAACCATACAACATATCCTTATATGAGTTTATTATGGTTTATGCCCTCGGGTAGGAAGGGGGTAAATTGGGGAACTTACACAGAGACAAGCACTTTTGCACCGCGACTCAGAGTCTGCCACCAGATGCTCCCACGGCCCCGTCCATAGTCTCTGTTAACATTCGCCCATGCATCTTGGGCCCGTAGTCTTGTCCCAGGTCAGTAAATGCCCCCTCTTGTGTCCATGCGGGTGAGGCGCTGGGGCCATCTCTTTCTCCACACCCACTGTCACAGGCGTTCCTCCTGGCTCACGACTTCAGTCTCAAGATGGCTCCCAGCCACACCTCGTAGTCCATGCTCCACAGCAGGCCCTGCCCCTTGGAGGAACTAGCCAATTGGGAGACAAGGCTTTATACTGAGTACAATAATATATAACTGTATTAATTTAACTGTAAACCTAAAAATTGACAGCCAATTTTGAAAGAGATGCATCTTAGCTCTGGAAATTGTTGCTGAATATGTCAATGCTGTTGTAATCAAATGCTTCTTTTAATTATGTGGTTATTAAATAAATAATTAATAAAACAATACAGGACCACCTACTCAGGAATGGCTCCACCCACAGTGAGCTGGGCCCTCCCACATCACTCAACAATCAAGAAAATTACCCCACAGATATGGCCACAGGCCAGTCAAATGGAGGAAATTCCCCAATTGAGGCTCCCTATTCCACGTATGTCAAGTCAACAGTAAAGCTATCCAGCATGCTCCTTTGTTCCCACGCTGTACTCTTTGACAGTAAATAATGAGGAATTAATCTTTGAATGTTGTGAGGTTCCTGTTCACTACAAAGTCTCTGATGTTTCCTAAGACAGGAGCCATTTGTAAATGGTGGCTGACATGTTTTGCTTATCTGCAGGTTTTCTCTACAATACAGATTCTGTGATCATCAACAAGATTGGATGGGAAAGTAAAGGCTTTCTCACAGTAATTATATTTCTAGTTTCTCACACTTATGAATTAAAAATAAATTTTTGTTAGAGATTTTGCAATTTTGTGCTTAATTCTAAGTTTTCCTTCAGTACACGATGAAGTTTTGTAATATAAAATATAAGCATTTGAGCATTTTCCAGACTTTTAGATATATCACTCTAGTACGGATTCTGCTTTGCTTTCTAAGAATTAAGCCAAGGGTAAAGGATGTACCACATTCTGTGCAATTGCAAAGTATCTCTTTCATATTAGTTTTTGATAACTGCCACCATTTGACATATTATTAAAGGAATTGCCACAATCCTTATATTTGCAGTGTCTCCCTTTATTGTAAATTCTTTGATGTTCTCTAAGAGTTGAAATACAAGTACAGGACCTCTCAAAACGTTTTCATTTGTGGGGGTTCTCTCTAGTATGAATTATCTCATGTCTTCTATGTGCTGAGCTCTCAGTTTTTCACATTATTCTCTTCAGAATGGCTACTTTCCAGTATGAAATCTCTGGTGAAACATTAAATCTGACTAAAGGACTTGTCACATGCTTCATATTTGTAGGGTTTCTTTCAAGTATGGATTACATCATGTGCTCTAAACTAAGACATATTTTTAAAGGATTTCTTACATTGCTTACTGTGCCCTGAGGGGTACTTTTTCCTTAGAGGGGTGGGGCCAGATAGAGAATTGGCTGCAGGGAGTAGGAGTGTTGGGGCCATCTTGGACAGAAGTGGAGGAGTGGAAAAAATGTCTCACCCATGTGGACAGGAGAGGAGGTATCCTGTGGGATACCATTCCAGAAGTGATCTGGAATGGTGGGCCGCTGATCCAGAGAGTGAAACAGGGTGTTTGCCTTTTTGTGGAGCTCTGGGTGTTTGCCTTTGTAAGTTACTCTATTTCACCTACCCAGGACATAAAATATGAAAAATTCAGATAAAGATGTGTTATGTGGTTTGCCTAATAGTACCATGAGCAAGGGACACTAAGAGAACTTGGGTGACAAACTGGCACAGCCAGCAGGATTATAGCACTAAGAATGACAAACTACAGGAGTTTGGAAAAAGTTAGGGAGCTAATGGAGGCACTGATGCGGGTCTTACAATGGATTAAAAATATGTAACTAAAAATGGGCCAGCCATGCAGGAGTGTGGGCCACAGCTATGTTGTAAATGTGGTGAAACAACCCAGTTGTGAGTATATGAAGATTTGTTAAAGGTTATAGAATGGCTAGAAAAACTGTTACAGACCTTGGACACAAGGGGAGAAAACAGTGAGAGAGCAGGGCCACCTTGCATAATAAAAGATGTGCTCAAGGCAGGGGAAGCTGAAAAGGCCAGGGAGGTCCTGACAGACCCAGTTACAGAGCTTGAGAGAAATAAAAACAGGACATTCTAACTTGTGTAAGGTCCAAGGACTCAGAGAAAAAAAAGATAATAAAAAAAAGATGATCTAAAAGTAAAAGTAGCTAAAGTTGCCCCTCAGATTCAACCTTTGATATAAAATGAAAAAAAAAAAAAAAGCTAACAGTGCTGTAGCTAGTAAGTACTCCACACTGGAACTGTTAAAACTAGGAAAAACCTATATGCAAGCAATCAAAGAGCCCCTCACCACGTGGCTTGTGAGGGTGTGGGACATGGGAGGAAATGACATCAGTCTAAGTCCTTCAGAAGTTTCATAGCTGAGTTATATAACTACCCATCCATCCTTGAGATATAGGCTGTTCAACCTTGGCCAATGCAAGGGTGAGCAGTCCTTAATGGGATGGCTGGTGGAAGGCATTAAAGATATATGATCATTACCAAGGGGGAACTCCCATAATTAACAAAGGCTGGAGGACTACAAAGGAAGGGCAGGCATTACAGAGAGACTAGGTATGAGAAAAGAAATATAAGATACTCAGTTCACTGGGCCAGATAAGACTGTGTTCACCAGAGAAATAAAGGAAAGCTTAATTCAACTGGGACCTCGAGAATCGTATGGAGGTTTAATGGTTTTTCTAAGCCTTTCAATAGGACAGGATCTTTGTAAAGTGAGAGAGGCTTTAGCAGATCTAAATAATTCTGGCCAGCATGTAAAATGTGTCTGTAGAATGACAGAACACCCTACAAGAGATATAAAAAAGACCAGAGAGAAGAAATGGTCTATTTGGGTTACTCGAAGACAAATGTGGCAAGACTTATGTCAAACCCAAATTCCCAAAGAAAAAAAATGATAGAAAACCTAACTCAGTACTAAGGAGTTTCTGGAAGGCTTTAAAACCAGAACAACAGTTTACAAAAGGCATTCAAAGGATAGAACCTGTCCCAGGTGTGGTTAATAATCCCCAAAGATTAAATAAGGTGCATTTCTCTTCTGATAAAGGCTATACTAGGGGTGGAGGCAGTTTTTCCCACCAAGGCCTCAACCAGCAGCCAGGTGTGGTTATTGAAGAGATGACCAATATGGCTACAGTCAGGACACAGACCCAGAGCCTACCTGACTCAGGGAACCAACAGATGCAGTGGGAGCAGGAGAAACCCCCAGCCTCCTTAGCCTGATGCAGGGTCAGGCAACTGGAGCCAACACTTGTAAGTGTATCAAGAATAAAAGAATACAAAGAGACTCCATGTAAAATCCCCCAAGTGTGAAGTGACTCTAAAGAGATAAATAAAGATAGTAAAGAACCAAATTAATGCCTCGTACCCATGCTTTGGTACCTAACAAGGATTTATGGAAAAAACAGTTAATACAAATGGATAAAACTTTTTCATGCTGTGTTAAGCCTTGTCTATGATTGATTTAATATATGATGTTAACATTCCTTTGAGTGTTTTGAAGATGTGAAACCCATTTGAAAGATACCTGAAGAAGCAAAGGCCGTCTATAGCTGTAAGATTCTTGGGAGTTTTATGGTTGGGTAAGATAAAAACAGAGGCTCCCAAACTATACAGCTGTTAAAGCTGTTGGTCAGAGAGAGATCCTATAGGTCCTCAAATTCACCAAGGCTATTGCCACTAATGTCAGTTGTATACTAGGAAGGTCATTAAGGCCAGTTGCTGAAGACACTGCATGATGTGAATGTGGGAGGAGAAGAAAAGATGGAGTTGAGGCTAAGCCAAGAACTCCATGCCACTGGATGGATGACATTCATAGTACCAGAAGGCACTATGCAGATGGTTGGGGAAGAAAGGATCCCCTATTATTCTACTCAAAATGGACCCCATGTGCTGTACATTATGGACATGCCAAGCAATTCCTGTAAGTGCAATAATGGCTCGACTAACATACGTACAACTGACAAATTTCTAATCAGATAAGGCCTGCTTCTAAGGTTGGAACACATATCTAGTGTTGAAGACCAGGCCAACTGCCTGTGTCAAGAAAGGCTACAGGCCCTATTAGGGAAGCCATTACAAGTATACTGTTTAATGAATATAGTATACCTACTGTGATATCTTGTAGGCCTTTGTATTTACATTCATGTTTGTTTAGATGTCTACTTCCTTCCATTTGTCTTTATAGTAGAAGAAACACCACTGAGACAGATCAATGGCCATGGCTTAAGACAAAAAATGGGGATTCCCAAGAAGTCACTATCTCACCATGATACAAGAGAGATTGTCCTAGATCTGTTACCCCCTCCAAGGCTCAGGGACTCTTGTGTAGGATTGGCAGAAAGATTATAAGATTCACTTCTCCTGGTCTTCTGATGAGCCATGGGCTGGCACCACGTACCCTGGGAAGAAGGGTGGAGCCTAGTGTTGGGAAAGATTGTAACAGGGCACAGGGAGCAGGTGAGCCATACTGCCCTGGACCCCGTGGAGCACCGGAGGATCTCACAAGGACCCTATGGACCCCTCATGGAACTCTGTGAGGTGAATGGGCATGCGGGGACATGAGATGACATAGGCCATGGGCAAAAGCTATCTGGAACAGTGGGCAGAGCATCACAGAGCTGAGTGCTGGGTGTTAGGTGTTCATTACTTTGTAAATCTGTCCCCTCCCCCCAAAAATATAAACTATGAAAAATTCAGATAGTTATGTGGTTTGTCTAATAGCACCAGGAGCAAGGGACCCTAAGAGAACTCAGGCGACACTCACATTTGTAGGGATTCTCTCTAATAGGAGTTCTCTAACGTTTCTTATAAGTTGAACTCATCATAAAAGACTTGTCACATTCTTCACATCTGTGGTGTTTCACTCCAGTATGTATTTGCTGAAGTACTCTAAGATGTGACATTTGACTAAAGGACTTGACACATTCTTAACATTTGTAGAGTTTCTCTCCAGTATGTATTCACTGATATCGTCTAAGATGTGACATTTTACGAAAGGACTTGCCACATTCTTCACATCTGTAGGGTTTCTCTCCAGTATGTATTCGCTGATGCGTGCTAAGACTTGACGTATGTCTAAAGGACTTGCCACATTCTTCACATCTGTAGGGTTTCTTGCCAGTATGCATTTGCTGATGTGTGCTAAAATGACATTAGACTAAAGGACTCGCCATATTTTTCACATCTGTAGAGTTTCTCTCCAGTATGTATTCCCTGATGTGCTCTAATATCTGACATATGTCTAAAGGACTTGCCACATTCTTCACATCTGTTGAGTTTCTCTCCAGTATGTACTTGCTGATGTGCTCTAAGATTTGACATTACACTAAAGGACTTGCCACAGTCTTCACATCTGTAGGGTTTCTCTCCAGTATGTATTCATTGATGTGGTCTAGACTTGACATTTCACTAAAGGACTTGCCACATTCTTCACATCTGTATGGCTTTCTCTCCAGTATGTACTTGTTGATATGCTCTAAGATGTGATCTTTGACTAAAGAACTTGCCACATTCTTCACATTGATAGGGTTTCTCTCCAGTATGACCTCTCTGATGTAATTTGAAACTTGACATCAAAATAAAGGACCTGTCACATTCATCACATCTGTAGGGTTTCTCTTCAGTATGAATGTATTTATGCTTTTGAGAATTTGAGACATGGGTATTGGACGTGTCACATTCTTCACATTTGCAGTGTTTCTCTATGTTGTACATCCTCTGGTGTCTTCTAAGAGTTGAGCTCTCCAGGCAAAGCAAAATAAAAGAAAACATTTCAATATGGAGAATAAGGCTGAGACAATCACACACTCACAGATTCATAAAGAACATGTAATATGCATGGATAAAATTTCCAACATTGAGAAACATTCAAATGAACAAAAATAAAAATCTATGGAGTAAAAGAGGGAGATGAAATCAAAACTAAATGACAAAATTTATTCAAAAAAATTAGAAAATATATGAAAAATACAGCAATACATGGAAATACAATTGTAAGAGAGTCATTTATAAACTTGAAATAATTATTAAACAAGCCCTACATAACAAGCCATAGGCCACATGAGAAAAATGGTAAGCAAAAAAATCAGTACTTAATCCTATCAGGAAAAAATACCAACTAATTACAAAGGCAGGAAGTTTGTAACAATATCAGATCTCTTGTCAGGAAAGACCAGAGGAAAAACAGCATGAAACAATGTAAAAAAAAAAAATCATACTGAAAGTGAACATATTAACTAAAATTGACTTGTAGAAAAGGTATCTCTTATATTAATGGAGGAACACCCACACCCACTCCTCACCATGGACCAGAGCTCAGCACACCTGGAGGCAGAGTTTGAGTCAGTAAAAGTCGCATAAGTACCCCTGTATAATAGAAGGAGGTAGGGAGGATGGTTGTTTCATGCTTCACAGACCTTTCCTCTTTGCCTTCTTTTCTTTTCCATAACTTAAAATAATTGCTACATCTGACAAGTAAAAATTGAAGAACATTCTCTACTTATCAGTAATCATACCATAAGATGAGCCTCAACATGAAGCAAATACTAGACAGCAGCCAAGGATGGAGTGTGCTAGATTGGCCAAAAGTTTCCATGCATTCGAATTTGCTTTTCGCTATTAAAACTTCATTCTACTGCATACAACTCAAAATGTAACTTGCACTAAACTTCCCTACTTATTCTCTCAACCACAGGATTGTATTTTCATCAAATGGCACTGGAACAATAAAAAATTGAGCAGCTTCTCATTAAAAAAATTGATGGAGGAAGAAGATCATTTGAAGAAAGTCACCAATTCATGGCAAGAAAGTCATCACTTCAGAATTTATGGAAGAAAACAAGACACAGTGGAGAAGGACACTCTCATTCATGGGAAAAGAAGTCAGAATACAACTCTAAAGAATAGTTGATGAATGCACCATGTTCCAGAAGGGATTCACCTTTAGCAGCACAGAGAACAAAGTAGAGCTCAATATTATACTAATAAAGATTAACACCAATCAAAAATTCTAACAGCCATAACAACAGCAAGATCAACTTGAATTTAAAAATCCTCCCACAATAATATTAAATGAAAATTGCCTCAGGTCACCAATTAAAAGATAGAGTCAAGAAGAATACAAGAAAGAATACAGGGAAATGCTCCCATTCACAATTGCTGCAAAAAAATTAAAATATCTTGGAATAAATCTGGTGAAAGATACCAAAGATCTGTACAATGAAAATTTTAAATTGTTAAAGAAAGAGAATGAGGAAGACACTAGGAGATGGGAGGACCTCCCATGTTCATGGGTTAGAAGAATTAATATAGTTAAAATGACCATCCTACCAAAAGCAAAATATATAGATTCAATGCAAACCCAATCAAAACTCCTGTGGCATATTTCACAGAAATAGAAAAATGCATCCTTAAATTCGTATGGAGGCACAAAAGACCCTGGATAGCCAAAGCAACCCTGAGCACAAAGAGCAATGCTGGTGGGATTACTATACGAGATCTTAAAGTATATTACAGAGCCATAGTCATAAAAACAGCATGGTATTGGCACAAAAACAGACACATAGATCAATGGAACATCACTAATGGTTCAAACCTGAGTACATGCAATTTCAGTGGCCTGATATTTGACAAAGGTGCCAAGAACACACAATGGAGGAAAGACAGCATCTTCAACAAATGGTGCTGGCAAAACTGTATCTCCACCTGTAGAAGAATGAAACTAGATCCTTATTTTTCATCTTGCACAAAAGTCAACTCCAAATGGATCAAAGACTTCAGTGTGAAACTGAAAACCCTGAAACGATTAGAAGAAAATATTGGCAGTAACCTACGGATATAGGTGTAAGAAAGGATTTTCTAAATCAGACAGAAGTTGCTCAGGAATTAAGGTCAGCAATCAACAAGTGGGACCTCATTAAACTAAAAAGCTTCTGTACAGCAAATGAAACAATTAGAAAATGAAGAGAAAACACACAGAATGGAAAAAAATCTTCACCAGTGACACATCTGACAGAGGTTTAACATCCAGAATATATAAAGAACTCAAACAACAAAGAAACGAGAAATC